CCAAAATAGTAACTTAAGTTCCTTAGCCACTACCTAGCCATGCAAAGAACCCATTGCAGAATCATCCGGACTGTGTTTGGTGGGAAAAGCAGCAACAAACATCACAGAAGCTGCTATCTGATATGTCCTGGTGAAGATGCAGCACCAGCTGCCACTGCAGATCTTGGCCGCATGCGCTCATGCCTCGCAGTCGCCGCTCCAAAAGACACGGGGCTGCACCAGCTTTGCGTAATGAGCCCTGACATGGCTCTGTGCAAACGGACTTCTTGGACTCTTCGATTTCAACATGCATGGAGCCGAGTCCTTGCCATTGGACGTACGCTCCAATCTTCTTTGGGGTCTATGATGCGCTCACCAGGCTTCAACAGCTCCTTGTGTCATCTGGGGAGGCTGCAGGCACCATAAGCGACCACGTCCTTAGCAGAGGTCTGCAGTTCTTTTCTTGCCTACGCGAGGGAGGAAGAAGAGATGGGATCAAGCGGATAGATGTGGCTGGCTAAATGCCATTCATCAAGCCATACTAGTGATAGCCGCTTAAGCAGTGTCACCAGCCCTCGTTCGGCACAGGCTCCAACCCCGGAGTTGTCATCTAGTTATAGAACCGCAGGCCCACCTCCTTTCTGGCATGCGATTTCCTAAGGAAATGGCCTGTCTCAAAGACAGGTTCTTTGATCGCTTCTGGCATCCGCCCACAAAAACCATGGTCATTGGCACAAAGTTTCCGATGTCCTCCACCACCCTTAGAACCAGAACATTCCCTTGCCATCACCCTAGAAATTGCATCAAACATTTTCTAGTCCAGGCCACGATTAGTTCTTTTGGCAAGGTCCAAAAGTCTGGGGTCCGGGGCGTCGGTGGGGCCATAAAGCTGAGAGTCCGCGTTGTCGCAGCGCCGGAGCAAAGCAATGGCCTTCCTCCATGCCTCCGGGCAGCCTGGCGTTTTGAAACCCATTTGCAAATTCGGAACGTCTTAAACGGATAGGTCGCTTGGTGGGGTTGCAGTGGCTATTCATCTTTGATAGATTCACGAGGGAAGTGGCTGGGAATTCATGGCCATGCATTACGAGACTCCGAGTGGGGAATTTCGCGGCCCCTGGTT